CATAAGAAGATCTGTTCATCCTTTAATAACAGCAATTGATCAAATTCACAGCTTGAATCTCAACAAACAATGTTAATAATGACATCATACAGTGTGGTGAGCAGGATCTCTACTGAGGCAAAAAATTTAAAAATTATTCAGAAAATTGTGTTTTTGGTCAAAGTCAAATTTATTATTGAACTTGTTAGTCATCAAGAGTCTCATAGTTAATCTATAGTCAGCCATTTATTATCTTTTTAATCATATATTTATCACATCATTTGATAAGAACATTTAGAAGAAGAGAAAATTTTGAAAAGATTTATAAAAATAGTATAAGAGTGAAAATTAAATTAAAAGAATGAGCAGAGAAAGAGTTGATGGAGAAGAAAATTTAGTTTGTATCTTGAAGCATGGAAACTGTTGTGAAAAGAATGAAATAAGAAGGATAACATTAGCAAAGTTGAAGGAAAATTCAAAAATATGGGTATCAAGAGTTGGAAAATGGCTTTTATAAAGTTATTATTATGAAAGCTATTGGTTCAGGAAGATTTTATTATGAAAGTGAAGTATAACATAATTCATCAGCAACTTTAATCACAGAGATTGATAAGGGAGGTGTGAAGTTATTCAAGAAAGAGGGTATTTTGAAAAAGGGTACTATGGTATTAATTCCTGTGTAGCAATGTCATTGAAGGATTGATGGTGCCAAGAGTTTTTTGGATTGACTTTTTAGCTATATGGATGATTGGAATGACGTAGGGTGATCTATTGATAGAAGAGAAATCATTATTACACGTGAAAATGGTCAAATTTCATCAAAGATGGGGCTTTCACTTAATTACATATGTCAAAACTTGTCAGAATTGGGTGTGTGATAGCTCATTCAACACAGAATTATCTGTTCCATAATGTACAGCCTGTAAATGATTAGTAACAAAGGATTAGTGAAAAATCTATAAGGAAACTGTGAGGGTAGGGTATTCTTTTAGAGTACTCTAAGCTCACTAATGGAAATTCAGAAGGGTCTTTTTATTTAAATATATGTATTTCAAATAGTAATTTGTAAATACAATAATAATAAAAGAAATAAAATAAGGAAGGAAAAGGACTAACAGTCTGCTTGGATGAATCCAGACAGACTTCAGTTAGTTGACTCCTTAAGAAGGAGATTTGTTTATAATTTAATAAATATTATAATATGAGAAGGCTGGATCCAAAGCCTTCCTTTAATCTTTAAAGTGACAGATTAAAGAGTGAGGTATAGAATCACTAGTCTGGTTGTTACAAAAGTCACCAACTTATGGTTGTTCAGAAGGTACACCAACCTGTGAGTTGATATAGGTCACTAACCTGTAGTTGTTCAAGAGGTAACTAACCTTGAAGTTAATTGGAAGGTCACTAACCTAGAGATATTCTACTTAGGGAAAGTAGAGGATCCAAAAAAGGGGGAAGGAAGAGATTACTTTATCTTTTAGTCAGGAAGGTGCTTTAACACTGCGAATATAATGTATTTTTCCGAGGTGAAAAATGATTACATTTATTTCACAAAATGATTAAAAATGCATTAATTCTGCATTAATTCTGCATTTTTCTGCATTAATTCTGCATTATTAATCATTTTGTGCATTAATGTCAATCATTTTTCACCTGGGAAAAATACATTATTTTTGCAGTGTAAAGATATGAAGTGAATCACTAGTCTTATTATTATAAGACTTTTGATTGGGTACTTCAATTGAACTTTAAAGGGTTCTTTAAAAGATGTGTGTAATAAATTGCTTGAAGGAAAGTTTCTGAGAGCTGAGAGTGGAGGGATTTATATACTCTCCTCTCCAAACCTAACTGTAGTGATATTTGGTTGTATCGCTACTGTGGTTTAGGGTTTACTGATCACTATTAGTTATTGTCATTATTAGTCTGACATAATTACATATACGTGTTATGTAATTTATGTAGTATAAGCATCTTAACTCTTGACACTGAGTTATGAGGTGTAATTGGTGTTTTATTACATGTTACATATGTTTTTAAATGTATATGTATATGTAATTGATGTTTGTATGTGTTTTATTATATGTTACATGTGTTTAATAAGCTGTATGTACATGTAATTAAGATTATAAGTGAAATTTATGTATTATAAGTTAGTTTTGGGTACATGTATATGTACCCAGGGCTGACAGAAACAAAGAAAATGGAGTGAATTCTGAATTTGGCGCTTCCATACACCTGTAATGCAACATTTACACAACAAAAGCTTATTTTATCAATCTCTACAGCTGAATAACTTATTCATCACACATCAGAAATAGGCCATGTTGGGGCAATAAATGATCATGGTCACAAGGGCTACAAAATGAGCTATAGTAATACAAAATTGAACAACTTTACAAAATATTTGCAATTCCAAAAATGGATTTCAGCTATGAGTATTAGGAAAAAATCACCTGTATTCATCATAAGAAGATCTGTTCATCTTTTTGTAACATCAATTGATCAAATTCACAGCTTGAATCACGGCAAACAATAATAATAATGACATCATATGGTTACATTGAAGGATTTTTGTTGGATTTTTGGCAGTTTTTGAGGTTTTTGGAGGCTGTTTACCATTGTTGGATATTGTTAGGGGGTTATATACATTGTTGGTGATTTTACGGGCCTTTGGTCCCCTTTTTACTCATCTTATACTTTTGTTAGAGTGTTTTTAATCATTATTAAATTACTTTAGCAGTACTAAGTTCACTAAGGGCGCGTTCACTTAAGCAATTTCTGGTGAGAAATCACATTCTGCAAAATTTAAAGTGTCTATTTGGTGGTGTATGTTTCATTTTTGCATTAAAAATTTTCCAGAAGGTGATTTCTGGTCAGAAATTCCTTAAGTGAACACGCCCTAAATAGCCCCTTTATATCAAAGGAAAAATTTCTTTATGTGTGATAAGACTACAAGTCTTCCTTGGAATAACAATCTAATTGATTGTTGCTTTGCTAGTAATTAAAGTTGTGTTTTGTTGTGCTCAGATTGGAATAACACTATAGCAGTGTTGAGGTTTCTTTATTTCTAAAAATCACAGGAATAATACTTGAATTAAGTATTGAGACAATTTCTCTGGTGCCTTATCCCAAAGAATTCAGCAAAACCCCGTGTTGATTCTTTCAAAGAGGCAGTCTTAGGCAACTTTTATTAGTTAGTTATACTAGTAGATTATCCCTCTTTAAGCTCTGTAAAGCTCTTGTTGAGCTTTAAGTGCTACAGTGGTCAGCCTGTTAAATTTGAAATGAGAGGTGAGAAAAACATTGTAGTATACTTGTTGGCATACATGTCAAAAGCTGATCCATCCAAGATGGCCAAGACTCACAATTCTGCAATTTTATTAGGGCCTGTGGGTGGGGAAGCAGCCAAAGCACATCCTTCTTTGGAGCATTTGATAACTCCCAAACAATAATATCTTCTAGCTATCCAGTCTTCTTTCTTTGTATTCACATGGTGTGAGTCCAACCAACAAAGCAGAAGTTTTTTGCTGGATGTTCAGGATCATTGACCTATACAGTGCAGCCATTTGGAAATATGGGATAGTCTTGCTTGTTGACTTCACAACTGTGGTCAATAAAAGTTTTGAACAAAGTTTTATTGGTAGGTAGTTGGAGATTGGGGTGGTGGTGTTTTTTGACCTGCACGGACTTGCAGGAGTGGCATCAGGAGAAGACATTGTGGCTGGAGGTGAAGATGGCAGTGAAAATAAATAGCCTGGTGAGAACAACTTTCAAGTTTGAAAGTTGTCTAAGTTGTCTTCTCTGAAAGATAAAAATGAGGATAAGTTGTAAGAAGAAGGGCTCAACAGAAGATTCTGTTGAGATGGAGCATCAATCAGATAAAATTCTTTGATGATGATATATCCTCATCATAAATTGAAAGGCTGGTTATGTAGTTCTGGTTCTTTCAGGCAAATCAATTGAATGATTGATGGAGCATGGACTATCATCTGTTGTGATGCTGGCATCATAGCGCAATGTGGCTTGTCCCATCTTTGAATCAAATTTCTTGTCTTCAATTTACAAAAAGGGTGCTGTCTTTGGATTCAATGAGTCCAAAAGGCTTCATGGACAAGGAATCCCAAAGCACTGGTGCCTCTTTGGAAAATATGTGCATGTAAAACTTTCATGTATAGCACATTACATCCATTCTCTGATCTCACGGATGTGGGTACTACAAATATTTGTGAATATTTGATCTTTTTTTGTTCATCTCTATGTGGAGGTATTCTTCTTTGTTCATCTCTATATGGTGGTGTTCAACACTGTTTGGGGTGTTACTTTGTCCTCATGGGAATGGACATCCATGGTTTCATCTATCATGGAGCCTGTGCGGTGTAAAGTATAGTGGTGTAAAATTGTAATATTGAACCTACATTGGTAATATTACACCAAGAAGACTTGCACTGAACCTGGTCTGTGTTACGTGTCTCAGTGTAAAATTCATAGCTGAGCTTGGGTCTCAGACTTTTACACTGTATTTTTTTGCACCAGAACTTTCAGTGTAAAAGTCTCTTTGTAAAATTACATATCTCAGCCGGGTCCCTTGTTTTTACACTGAAACTTTTACACGGTGACTTTTTGCACAGAGGAAAAAAACAAAATATCAGTATAAAATTTGAAAACAGGGGCCTTTTTTGAATTTTACACTGGAACTGTTTAATTTTACACCTAATTGAACTCAGTCCCTCCAAACCGCACGCGTCCCCCGGAGCCTGCGGGACGTCTCTGCGGCAAACTTAATAAGTCCCTCTCTGACCTGTACTGGCCAGCTCAAACAACCAGTACAGGTCAGAGAGGGACTTAGTTAAGTTTGTCTCTGTGGGGGTTAGGGGCTTGTGTGAAGCTAGGTTCTACACCGGGTTGGTCTGTGTAAAGCGGCTGGTGTAAAATTCTCCCACCCCATTTACAAAAGTAAAGTGTAGTTCTGTTCATTCCGCATATCTCTAGATGCATTGCATGTGATAACATACACTTGTCCCTGATCAGAACCCAAATGAAGCTTTTGGTAGTCGTGACTTGTAAGACTGGTGTGTCTCTGGGTTTTGTTCCAACTTCAGTGTGTCAGCCCAATCAATCCACTTAGGTCCACTGGAAACTAATCCACTAGCCAAAGCCAAAGAGGCATGCATTTTTGCCTTTTCCAAGTTTCCAACAGCGTTGTAAGCTAAAGATGCCCGCAAATAAGCATTGAACATTATAACATCTAGTCTCTCCTGTATTACGAAGTCAATGTCAGCTGAATAGGTCAGGACCTAGCGCTGGAATTAGATAAAACACACCAGCATGTGGAGCGTTATGGCATATTCGGCCATGGTAGGGGTAGCTTCAGAAGCTGATGTCCAGTCGTCCAATATAGCATTCAACTTTTTGAGTCTCTCAATCCGATAGTCAGAAAGCATTGCCACATGTAGTGGCGACGAGCATAGTGAACAGCCACATTCGAATCCATAATCGCGAGACAGAAGTCCCTGTCTTGTCTCTTTAGACACGTCCACTTGGATATCTGCCAGAAATCCCCGAGACGTGAACACATGAGCAAGTCTTAACGGATTGATCTTTTATCCAGGACTTACAGCTGACTGTCAGTTCTTCACCTGGGGAAATATCCCGGAGTGCATGCACGTTTAATTTCAAGGTGTTTGTATCGAAGTGGTACGCAGAGTTGGGGCGACAATCGTGATTCAGTCGACTGGCGATGGACATATTTTGTTATTGATTCCAAGCACCATCAGCTGCGGAAAGAGGGGCAAGTTGAAATACTCACGTAGGCTCGAACACAACGGCGCCAAAGGGCCGTTCCTGTCCCTTGACCTCCACCCTGTGGTAGAAATTGTTACGCTCGAAAGCCGACTTGATCCATTCTCCTTGAGTCTCTCCTTCACCGTGAAGAGTAGCAAAAGTAGCTCGTGTCTCGAATGGAAGATAGTCCACTGCTGTCTTCATGAAGTCACCGAGATCCTCCCTTCTCCATACATCTGCCTCAGTCATGCTCACAATGACTGCGTGATCACTGACGATCAAGTCCCCAGGATAAAACCTCTGTAGAGTGACTGTACCCTTTCCACCCTTATGAGGCATGTCCACGACGTCAAACTTCTTGCCACTGGGTTTCTCCTCGTCCGTAAGATCTTTTTTCGGCTTAAAGACTGTGAATGTTGATAGTATTTCTTTGAATACAGAGGGGTACGCCACAAATACTATGCCCCTTCCATGATCGAAAGCATGGTTGAGATAGATGCATATTGGCTCCCAGTCATGGCGGTCTTTGCGAGGGTAACACCTTTGTTTAACAAATCCATCCAGGACATCGTCGACTTCCGAAGATTCGAGGATCGGTCTGACATCCACCTGATCAAATTTGTAGACTAGTCCAACTGATGATTTCGGGGTTCTTGAAGACCTAGCGTCCGATGAACCTAAGCGCGTAGAGTTGAAAGCAGTGTTATGTCGGCTAGGATCTGACACTTTGTTGAGTAAGGCCTTGTCGCAGCTAGACGATGTGCAGGCCTGCTGGGTGTACATCGAAGTTTCAGGCTTTATGAAAACAGATAGCGAGGTTGATTCAAGCTCATTGTTACAACGACAATGTTGAACGAATCCAGATACGAGGAGGTGGATTAGGAATGTAGCTCTGTTCTGCATATTTTGAGATAACGATGTTGTAAAGATGACGATATAAAAGCTAATGAAGGCAAAAGATACTCCCGAATGTGAACGAGGTATGGCTTACAGTGACGTGAAGACTGAAGCAGACTTCAAGGCCTCTTAGAAGAATTCCGAGTCTTACTTCATCATTGAGTGCTGTCAATGAAAATCAAACCAATGAAGGACTTATTGGATGCAACACGTGTGCGCAGACTCCTTCCCACTCCAGTGAATTCATGTGTAATCCCCACGACCGGACAACGTCACCGTTCGAAACCGAGGATGTGTGTAGCTGACAACAACTGGTGCTGATTATTGCTAGCTTCTCGAGAAGGAATGACAAGGAACTCGGAAGCACAAGAGACTAAGAATCGCTGGTTCCCATTGTCGGCATCAGCTCCAACCTCCCATTGTTGACGAGCAAGGTTGTTTTCTACAGACGCTGATGACGTACTTTGGGATTCGAAGTAAATGACAAGGCTATAATGGAGACGAGGACACTTCAATCAAGCTTGAGCAGCTGAAAGCTATCACACTCCAGAGCGTCCCATAACCTGACTGGTCACGTTCGAGCTGCAAGCAGAGCCAAGGTCATAGATACATAGCACTTCAGAAATCATGATGAGGGTAATGCCAAGATACATAGACAGACATAGACCCAGAAAGAATGGGCACTAGGAGCCTGCTTCTAGATACGAGAATAGGTGACAGGCGCCAGCAGTGACGTAGCCACGACGAATGATGTGTAAGCCATTCACATTCGTGTATGATTAATCCGCTGTGCTCTTTACCACTCCGAAATGGTAAAGCAACTCTTTTCCATTTCACAGAGGACGTCATTACCCTCTTGTTAATCATATAAAGATTAGGGCAGGTCAAGTAGACCACTTTTTTGCTCATTTATGGGCCAAAACGAGCGAAAAACTGGCCTACTTGACCTGCCCTATTGTGGATGTTCCTATTGTGGATGTTCTCGAACTCCGGTTCTTCCCACTTATCTTCTTTTCTCAAAGGTTTTTAAGAAAGATGTCTCCCTAAGAGTTATTCTCATCCAAATCGAGATTCTTTATATTCATCTCCGTGATTAGAATATTAAGAATTGTTTTTTCCCACCCACCTCTCCCTTTATTATCTTTTAAATACTCTTAGGCCGCCCCTAGCGGACCTCTTTTTATGCCTTTGAGTCGTTTGCATGTGTACCCTAACCTATTCAGATAGCTGTTTCTTACCTACTTGCAAATAGGGCTCTACGCCCCGATTCTGGCTAAACTTCCACATCGTGAGTTTAGCGCAGATCACCAACAAGCGCCCATACCTATTCTAGCATTCATAGTGTCGGAGTGCAGCATCAAGGATGATTTGGATTATCCTAATTTTTGCGTTAGGGAAGTTGGAGGTTTAGGCACGGTTGAAAAAGGCAATTGCCTCCATCAGACATCTAAGATTTCAAGGATCAATTGCCTGCTGCGTGGATTGCGTCAACTTGACAAAATCTGTTGCATTGGCTCATGATAGTATGTCTCATGTTGTAGATAATTCCAAACATGACTGAAATTTGATTAGCAATCAATTATTTTGATAGTTTAGCACATAGTGTAGCACATCTCTGTTCTCTGTTGTCCAGGAAAATTTGATCCTGATGACATTCAAGATGAAGTTTTTAGTAGCCGTGCCTTGAACGACCAATGCGTCTCCGGTTCTTGCTCCAACTCCATTGCTGTAGGCCATTCGGCCCACTTAGGTCCGAGAGCGACCAATCCACTAGCCAAGGCCAAAGCAGCATAGATCCTTGATCTTTCCCATTCTCCAATAGCATTGTATGCTAAGGATGCCTTCAAATAAGCCTTGTGTATGGAAACGTCTAGTCTCTCCTACGTCGCCAATTGATCCATGTCAACTGAGTCAGAAACTATGACTGGGGTCAGAAATAACATACCAGCTTGTAGAGGTTTACGAGCCGTTCAGCCATAGAAGGAGTTGCTACTGAAGTTGACTTCCAATCGTCCAATACAGTTGTCAACTCTTGGATTTTCTCAATGCGATAGTCAGACAGCTAGGCGATATGTGGAGGCGAGGAGCATAGTGAACAACTACAGGAAAACCCGTAATTCCGCAAGAGGCGTGCCTGTCTATCACTCCTGACCAGTTCCCCTCCGATATCTATAACATTTTCCACGACATAGACCTGTTAGTGAAGCGCTCTTCAGAACGAGCTTTTAAATTTGATCAAAAAATACTTACATGCGACGGTCAGCTCTTCACCCAGCGAAATATCTCGAAGTGCATGTACGTGTATTTGTAAAGTCTCCGTATCAAAGTGGTAGCCAGCGTTGGGGCGACAATCATGATTCAGTCGACTGGAAACAGGAATGCGGGTTGATTAGCCCGTTATGAAATTTAGATCTGGTGAAAACAATAACTCACGTAGGCTCGAAAACAACAGCTCCGAAGGGACGTTCATATTCCCCAACTTTCAGAACGTGATAGAAATTGTTGCGTTCAAAAGCCGACTTGATCCATTCTCCTTGAGTCTCTCCTTCACCGTGAAGAGTAGCAAAAGTAGCTCGTGTCTCGAATGGAAGATAGTCCACTGCTGTCTTCATGATGTCACCGATATCCTCCCTTCTCCATACATCTGGCTCGGTCATGCTCACGAAGACTGTGTGATCACTGACGATTAAGTCTCCAGGATAAAACCTCTGTAGAGAAACTGTACCCTTTCCACCCTTATGAGGCATGTCCACGACCTCAAACCTCTTGCCGCTGAGGTTTTCCTGAGCCTTAGGGTCTTTTTTCGGCTTGAAGACTGTAAAATTTGGTAGTATTGCTTTGAATACAGATGGGGTAGCCAGATATACCATACCCCTTCCATGATCGAAAGCATAGTTTAGATATATGCAGACCGGCTCCCGGTTGTTGTTGTCTTGGCCCGGGTAGCACTCTTGTTTGACAAATCCATCCAGGTCATCGTCCAACTCCACAGATTCGAGGATCGGTTTGACATCAACTTGATCAAACTTGTAGACCAGACCGACTGACGATTTCAGTGCCCTTGACGATTCGGAGTCTGGTGAAGGTATACAAGAGTTCAGAGAAGATCCGTGCCGGCTATCAATTGAGACTTTGTTGGGCAAGAGCTGATCGGAGCTAGGCGGTACGCAGGTCTGCTGCGTGTATGGCGAAGATTCAGGCTTTATGAAAATGGGCAATGAGTTGGAATGAAGATCATTGTTACAGCAACACTTTTCAACGAATCCATGTATGAGGAAATGTGTCAGAAAGCAAGCTCTGATTCGCATCTTTTGATAATGCAATGATGTGGAAATGTGTGGTTCGCCAGGAAAGGTTTCGGATGAAGGCTAAAGACACTATCAGATGCGAATGGTCTGGTCGGCAGTGATGTGAAAACTGAAGGATACTTCAGTCTCTTATACTGAATACCAAGATTTTTGACTGTCCCCCACGGCCGTTAGCTGAAAATGGAAACAGTTGAGCATGTAATTAAATTCAGAAGATGATCGCAAAGTCCATCACACTCCCGGGAAATCGTGTGCAATCTTCACGACCAAACCAGCATCACTCTTCGAGACCGAGGATGGATACATCAACTTCACATAAAGTGTAAAGACTGGATGAACCGAATTCAATCACATACTAAATGTTTCATATCTTCATAATTACGCAATTTCGCTCAACCATGAGATATTTATTCTTGCTACAATGAAGAGGTCAATTTATTACAAACACAGCATAATGCACATGTATTGCCTCAGCACTTCACAACCACCAGTTCATATATATAAAGTTGAACACTAAAAGTAGACTAGCACCACAAGAAAGTTATGTTTAAAAACAAGATGACGATCAGGATTGCAAAATCAAACGCAAGATAATACAAGTATTACATATAGAAGACAAGATCAAAACAATCCCAGATATAATTGGGAGCAACATACCACAGTCATCATCATGAGGGATCAGAAGCCCAAGAAATCGTACAAAATATAATAAAAGATCTATGAAAGGTAACAAAACAAGAGACGATATTTGGATGTTCAAAATTTACATCCTTCGCAGCTCAGAGAACTGATTCCAGATTTTGATGTATCTCACAGGCATCTCTGAGAGCTTTATTGGATGTAAAAGGTTCAAGAACATGCACCATAATCGCCCTCATAAGTTGATGATAATTCCTCATCTTTTGATCTAGGCAAAGATATCTTATAGCAACACAATTGTGAGATTGTCGCAATCTGATCAAAAATCTTGTCTTAGCTAATATCTCTAGTCTGATGAAGCTGAGGTAAAGAGACTATGACTCACCAATGCCAAGATGATCCATACCAAATTTCCACCTATTAAACTATTACCACTAGAAATACCCATAGCAAATAATGAAGAGCCCAATATGGGACCAATGACTTGTGCAAACGCCGAACAGGTCTTTATTAATCAACTTGATCAGTTCTTGACTTGATGTGTTCGTAAATAAATATAAATGACTACGACAAACCTGCTGCATTCCATTCAAAGTTCCGAGCGCTGCAGCACTGGGAGACAAAAGTTTCGTGATCATCATGATGGAAACTGAGACGTGAAATAAAAGTGGATGTTACTTTTTTAAAACTCGAGGAATGTATAAATGAATGGAAAGACTATGTTCTTACCATAACACATGCTTCCTGGGCTTCGCAAAATCATGATCATAACCATGTAGGCAATCCTTTTTCCAGGAGTGCTACTCTCGACTAAGGAGTTTCAAAGGGATGAATAATTTAAGCAAAAGGACCCCGCCAATAAGTTGACATGTATTTGGTACTGACGATGTGTTGACCAAGTAACAAAGGGTACACATAGGTACGAAAGCGTGAAGCAAGTTATGGTGCATTTCAGGACTGATACAACCCCGATACGTCTTTGTAAAGGCGGGAAGATCAGTAGTTGAACAATGATGATTCCAAAACCTCCGACACTTAGAACGGATCCTACGAAGGAAGAAAAGAGCCGAAAGAAAAGCAATCAATTCAATCATCTCTTCGAGGTAGGATCTGCTCAAAAACCTTACCAATCTGTTCAAGGGACATTCCAAGTCCGCCATTGACGATATCTGAGAGAACTTGTCAACATAGTCCAATATATAAAATAGTGGAGGGATAGTACCTGTGTAGGCATACAACGGGATTACAGCATTCCAAGCTACGTTTTGCAAATGCATGATGATGAAGGTCAACATCGTGATCATGATGGGGTATGTGCATAGCGATGCAATTTTAGGAGGTTTGTCTTGACTCGTCTCAGTCAAAGTTGCAGACATCTCGTCTTGCTGCAGGCCTTGTCCTTGAACACGGGATACGAGCTTCCGCTTTGATGGTAAGGTCTGCCATAGGGAGTTATTCAGCATCGAACAGATTGATATTGTTTTCTATCAAGTTACTGACCTCTTCCAAGAAGAAAATCCCAAGACCAATAGCCAACAAATTCAGTAAACCTCCCATGAAGCAAGGCAAAAAGTAGGGATGCTTGATCATCAGGTCCGATGATCCAAAAAGATCTGGGTATTTTTCAGCTGGCAGGGCGAGAAAGCCCCCGATAATTGGTCCCAAGATAGATCCAATGGCCTGGAAGACAACGCTTACTCATCATCAGTGACTCCCGCTTGATCTTTTATAGTCGAGATAAACTTACATAGCACAACGGTAGATAAGCCACAGCGCTGAGATTGGATGGTGAATTGAGCTTTCACTTTCTACGGAGGCAGGGGTATGGGCTAGACAATTTCAAATGGCTTACTCTGCATAATTGGTCGCATCCGTAATTTCTGCAACGATGGACTAAAGGATTGGATTTTCAGGCCAATATTTACGACTCTTATTACAATCAAAATGCCTTACTTGAATGATTCCGATGTTTCCTACACAAATGTCCAAGAACGTCACCACTCAATTCTCTGAAATCGAGGGATTTTTTTGAAAAAAAAAACTTACCATTCATCATTCCAGCAACAAATCTGGAAATGATTAAACCAGTATATGTGCTTTGTAATCCGAAGGAGATGACACTAATTGCCATTCCAAAAAGTCCGAAAAGCATCACAGGCTTTCTACCCACGTGATCTGATAATCGACCCCAAAAAACGGCTGAGGAATTACGAAAAAAAAACTATCAACTCAAATGTGTTTGTTTGTGTGCTACCTTGAATGAAATAATCTTTCTACCTGTACACATTTGCGCGATAGCAAAAAGACCTGGATTGAAAACATCATAACGATTTCATGTTACTTTTACGGGTTCATGTTGTCGAAATGAAACAATGAGGTAAAGAAAATCTTGTTCATTTGACTGACTCTCAATTACGCCAGCATAATATCCTATCTGCTTTGAATCAGGTGAGACTTTCATATCTTCCAACATCCGACTAATCAAGATAGGTCAGCAATGAATCTTTCTGACTCGTAATCGTTCAAGTGCCACTGACTTGATGAATGGAAAGATGAGTGTATACGATATAGGTTCTACCATGGACATGCGTTAGCTAATGATTTCCTTCACGAAGAACGCCCATGAATGTAATGTATTCACCCGTGAGTCGCATGATGCAAAGGACAAATAATTGTCTCACTGGCAATGGTGTTCGACTTTTGTAAAGGGTAACATGGGACTAGACAGTGAGTGGGTGAAAAGTACCCAATGTTAGTTGAAGTTACTTGTGAGTTTGGACGAATGGAAAGAATATCACATTTGGCGGTGTCGCGACCAATGGGGATCGTTCGTCTGCTATTGAGCTTTCGGATGGGCGGGACATCGCCCGTTGGAATCTAGAGGAAAGCGTCATGATAAAAATGTCGAATTTCGGAAAATGATGAAGTCTTGATAATTAGTGGAAGAAAAGTTGATGAGGATCCAATTCGCTGGGTGGTTCGCCCCAGATCAACACCTCATCAAGAACAGCAGAAGTTGAACTAATTTTAATTCCGTTTGAGTGGTATGTGGATCTGATGAAATTCTCAATTACAAATGCTCATGTGCATTGGAGATTGGTAAAATGAGAATTCCCATTAACTTTGACGTAAAGCAAGTACAGATGAAAAGTTCATTTGAAAGTTGAAACAAAACTTGTATGTTGTATTCTAGTTGTATAAGTATACGAGTGAGGAGTGGCCTCGAGAATTGTCAAGAAGTACATTATAAGCATAACCAAGCCCCTCTTCCGACGCGGCCATGTCCGCTCTCGAAGAGGGGCTTATGACTAAAACCCCAGGTTTGGCCTGAGCACAGCAGGATTTTCACGCGCTTTTGCTTCAGCCCTCATTTTCAGGGCTCCAAACATCGTGCAACCTCACAAAAAATTGAACAGAGCTTGTGATGAGCCAGGACCCGGGAATGCACTATATGTGTACATGAAGTGAAAAAACCACTTTGTTGGGGTGGTTTTTGGGCCATTGTCTGCCTGGACTTCATTCTTTCCAGACTTGCAGAATCACAAACTGTTTGCCTCAATCAGGGCTTTCAGCTACACAAAGTTTCAATCCTGTAGCATCTGTAGTTCAGGAGATATTGCAGTGTAACAGCCAAAAAGGTGAAGGTGTATTTTGGACGTTGGAGGTTGAATTTTTTTGCACATTTGCAATTTCCACCGCAGTGAGGCAAGTGGAGGGGCTCTTATCAGGTTTGCTTGATGGCCTAGTGCACATCTTTTGAGGTGCTTGAGACCTTAAGACAAGTGCTGATTAGAGCCCAAAAACCAAAAACTGGCTCATGTCACGCACATCTACAGGTGCAGTCCTGGGTCCTGATAAGCCTCTTACACACACTTGTGCCACGTTTAGCACCACTTTATCAAAGCAAAGAGACACAGTGGAGCTCTCAAGTTCTTGTAAATCTGAGTCTTATTTGATACAGGGCCTACAAGTGCACTTGAACTGTCCAAGATCACTTGATCTTGGACTCCAAATTCCTTGCAATCCACAAATTTAGACATGCAAGAAGTTGTATGAGGAGATTCAGAAAATCTTGAAGACCTGAGGCATACATGTTGGCAGTGCAGGTCAGGAAAAAATCATCCTGGTGGTGATCCTTGTTGAATCCAAAATATCAATGGCTATGTCTTATGAAGTGAATTCTTTTCTCTTTTTCCTTTTTGTGTGTACTAAGCATAACTACACATATAGATAACTTGTACCATTCTTATTTTACTCCAAACCATTTTTGTCCTAAACCTAACCATCACTAGTATTGCCCTGCCTTGTTTATTAAATTTGTCTTGAGAAAGATTTTATGTTTTTTCATCATTCATCTTTAAAGCTCCTCTCACAAACAGTTCACTATCATCACAAATAATCTCTCTGGACTCAATATGATCATCCTGTAAGACCATTTGACTGATAGTATTATTATTTGATTCTTCAGGTATGCATATGTTTTGATACTATTTTGTATAATTTTTCTCTCATTTACTTTGTGGTTTGGATATATGAAATTCATTTATCATTAAAGCTCATCTCACAACCCACTCCCTATTGTCACAAATAATTTCTCTGAACTCAATCTGATCATTCTCTAAGACCATATGACTGATAGTGTTATTATTTGATTGTTCAGGAATCTGAGGATTACAATAGTCCATGTGCACCATAGAAGTACTAAAGGATGTTGTGGTTTGAATAAATAGCTTGCCGGTCAGTTGTTGTGATGAATTTCATAGCCTTGAAAGAACACCCTTCTTCATATATTTGTTTATTTGTTGCCACTCACCATTAAGGGTGCCACTATACTATACTGGTACAGGTATAGTTGGGTATAGTATAGTTTAACTATACTGGGTATAGTATAGTTGGAACTATACCACACACAACTATACTCAGTATAGTGACAGTACTCAAAGCTGTGTATACTTTGCTGTACTTAGTTTTTTTTCTTTTTTCACAACTACACCACCAGGAAAAACTATGTTTCTGGCTCAGAAGTAGATATTTTTGAGCTTCAAACAAAAGACATACTTTTTCAGGGTTATACATGTTTTTCATCAACTTGCACAACTGTACTGCAAAGTATAGTATAGTATATCTGTGTATAGTTGTTCTATACTATACCGGCCAAGCTGAAAGTATAGTCGCAGCCTTGTCACCATCCACATTATCTATCAAACCAGATCATCCACCAATGGGTTGTATGAAATACTCTGAGGATCTCAAGCTTGTGGAAACCTGCATGGACCTTGCGCAAAGCTTTGATTGCTGATATCAAAAACACTCTTGGTCATTGGTTTTCTGAGCAATAAATGAATAGATTATAAGATTTGTTTTGAGCCACTGAACAAGTTGTTACCAATCCTATGTGACACAAAAGGCAAGGACACTAACACGTCTTAAGCAACATTAATTCAGCCTTAGTGATTGACATTGTCACCCACTGCCCGGCTATCTACTTGGACAAGCTTAGAAATAAAATCATTCACCTCACAGGTGTGCCAATCTCCAAATCAACCATTGCTTGCAAATTGAAAGAAACCCTTGGTCTCTCCCTACTGGTCATGTGTGATGTTCACAAGGACCAACCAAGTGCAGATTGTGTACACGTAGTCATGGAAAAGGTATGGTTTTTTTATTTTTTTTAAAAAAAAAGTCAATTTTTGTTTCACAATTCTCATCATAAGTTTTAATATACATATATGATACCTAATAAACATGGACAGCATGTTTATTCAAAATGCTGTCTAATTGATGATGTAGAGAGAGAGACCCACGGTAAAGAGTTCAAAAAATATACTCAGTTGATCACCAATGGGTGGATCCGCCCTTGGCTGCAATGACGGCTTGAATTCGCTCGGGCATCAAGGCAGCTAGACATTCCAATTTCTCAGTAGGTACACTCTCCCATGATTCCAACACATTGGCCTTCATGGAATTGAGATCCTAGATCGGATGCTTAGTTGAGATATCAAATTTAATGATGGACCAAAGATTCTCAATTGGGTTCAGATCAGGAGATTGTGCTGGCCATTTTAACTTCACTATCCTTTCTTTTTCACACCATTCGGAAGACAGTTGGGAGCGGTGGACTGGGGCTCCATCCTCCATCAAAATTAGATTGTTGGTATTGGAAGATTTGTGTAAAAAAGGGCCAAGTGACTTTTCATACACTTGCTCATTGAAATTTTCTGAATTTCGACAACCAGGCTCCATGATGATGAGCTTGAGCTTGTTTCCAGGAATGAAACCACCCCAGATCATCACTGAACTACGACCCGACTTGAAAGAGGGTGTCAAACAGGATGTGCTGTATTTTTCAGCCACTTTTCGCCACACCCAAACTTTTTGATACGGCTTTCCGATCTCAAAGGTGGATTCATTGGTCCAAATGACTCGCTTCCAATCATCCACCGTCCATGCCGCATAGTTTTTTGCAAACTCGAGATGCGCCACTTTATGTTTAGCGGTTAAATAAGGCTTCACTATTGCTACTCTCGAGTTGTAACCGAGGGATTTGAGAGCCAGTCTAATCATAGTTGCACTTGCTTTTGTTGCAGATCCCTGGACTATCTGACGCATGGGAGCTCGTCAAGACTGTTTGACATCACGCTCAAGATGTCGGAGATTGCAATTGGTCAACAAAGATGGTTGGCCAGAGGGTTTGTGGCCTTCTACGGAGCCTTCTGCCTTAAATTTTGCGAGGACGGAGTGGACCGTGGTGACTGGACACACTAGAGTTTGGCTGATATCTACATTTCTCTTCTTTGCTAGGTGCATTCTGACCATTTGCTTTTGAAGATCAGATGGTAAGGGCTTCATATCAACAATTTCAGAGGTGATGATTGACATGTTTGACCAGAAGATTGGTAAACAACAAAATTCAGAAAAAAACAAAAAAACCCCGTAGCTTTTACCTCACTACATGTACAATTTGTGAAGAAATTGGCTGGAATTCCACCCAAGTACTATGTTGTCATAGGTATGTATTTTCCTGCTTGAATTTGTCCTCTCTACATTTCTAACTGTGGTACTCTTTTCAAGATGAATCTGGTGTAGTCACACACCCCAAACACCTCTGGAAACCCAGAGGGGTCCTTTACCCCCAGCAAACCTCTCCCAAAATTTCACCAAGTTTTCTGGAACCCATCAGTTGTGTGTATAAGGAGCCAGTGGTGAAGAATCCTGTACAGTTCAATTATCATTCAGCCATCTTCTGTGCACCCAAATGACAATATGCATATAATATGGAAGGTTGAAGTGGTTCATGGAAGGACCAAGAATTGGATAGGTTTTGGTTCTTATACAATCATTATAATCCAAAGCTCAATTAGGAGAGCACAATTCAGGCTTAACATACTCAGTTGTGCGCTGGAATTGTCCTGTTGGTGAAGTGGTATGAGCACAGCTTTTAATGTGATTTTTCCTGTCACACTTTCACTTGAAAAAAAACACAATGTTTATTAACCAAAACAAAGTAACAATCACAATCTATCAGATTGTTATTGCAATGAACACTTGTAGTCTTATCACACGTAAAGAAATTTCTCCTTTGATACAAAGGGGCTATTTATTGAAATTAGTACTGAAATAGTAATTGAATAACAATTATAAACACTATAAATAATGTACAAGATGCAAAAAATGGAAAAAAGCCTGTAAAACATCCACCAACAGTATTTATCATCTTTGCAGACACCAACAATGATGAACAACCTTCAAAAACCAACAAAAACCAACAATAACAACCTTCAAAAACCAACAAAAACCAACAAAGACCCTCTGATGTAATCCTATGATGAAATCATTACTAATGAATGTCATGATTTAAGCTGTGAAATTCATCAATTAATATTTATAAATGATGGAAAGATCCTCTTATGAAAAATACAGGTAATTTTTCTCTAATATTCATAGCTGAAAACCATTTTTTGGAATTTTGACTTTTTTTCTAAAGTGTTCCAATTTTGGATTACTATAGCTCATCTTGTAGATCAGATGATTCTCATCAATATTTGGCATATCATGACCTATCTCTGATATGTTACAAATAAGTTCTTGAGTTGTAAAGATTGATAAGATAAGCTTTTGGTCATGTAAATGTTGCTACAGTACATGTGTGTATGTAAGTGTAAAAGTCAAAATCTGCACCATTCTTTTTGATTCCTTATAAAATTTTCACAAATCCTCCATTACTTGTGTTTTAAAAGTTTTACATTCTGAAATGGGACATTATGTGTCAAATGAGTTATCACCTGTCTTGATCTGAGAAGTCTTGTTAAGATTTGATAAGTGAAGTTCCAAGAACAGTTGAATGAAGAATTCAAGAAAAGAAATTCTATCCCCCCTGGACAGGCTTTGGACATGTCCCAAATCAATCAAAATGCAAAACATGTCTGTTAAGCTGTAAATCCTAGGTTTGGGATGTGCCACTTACCCTGTGTATAGCAGACCAAGGAAGTTGGATTTCCCCAGTTTCCAAACTACATCCAAATGGACCGAGGTGGGGAACTGGTGAAAAAACCCCGGGCTCTGAAGTTTATTGCTCATCATCATTGATTTGGAGATTTTCATCATCATTAAGAATCTTAAAACTTTTCATTCCTGATTAAACCAAACCAAGGAACCAAACCCATCAACAAAAAAAAAGCTCAAACTCAGGCTCCAGAACTTCCGAAACCATAAATCCTCAAGTTGAATCAATTGCTATAAATCTCAATATATAATCATCCAAGATCTTTTTTTCGATCTTCAAATCAGCCATGCTACACTTCAAGAAAAGAAAAAAATGGTAAGAAATGAGCCGAATTTTTGAAAGATATGTATGAATAAAACTTGATTTTTGAAAACACACAAAAAAACCCCAGTGTACCCAAATGCTAAATCAGACTATGAACAACGAGCCCAAAACAAAAGTAATATAGAGATTGAGAGATAGAGAGAGAGAGAAAAAAAGAGATGTCTATAAACAAATGTTGAGTATGCTATATACAATCTATGTATGTCTAAAGATTTATCTGCTGCAAAAAAAAAAGTTTGAACAAGAAGAAATTCTAAAATTATTTACATCTTTAGAAAATGGTTAACTTGAAATGTCAGATAAGTCTATAACTTTTCAAAGTTTTCCTAAAATGAGTTTGTAGAGATCATTGATGAAGAAGTGAATGAATCTTTAACTGGATGTGAGCAGTGTCGAAGATAGGATTGGTAGAAAGTTACCGATCACTAATGAAGGACAATTGAACCTGTTTATGAAGATGGATGAATGACATTAGACTCGCTTTACCAAGTTGAATGGATAGACAGTTGAAGATAAAACTTACAAGTCTCGTTTGATTGTAAAACAAAATGTACATCCTACTATTCTTCCACCTGGACATATTAGACCACAGTACTTCATCACGACCTATGAAGTAAATCATGATCATTAGAGATATCGAGAAAGCTTTCTTATTGATTCTAAATTACTAACCTGTTGATTGAGATTCTCGAATGCAGCTTCATCAAACTTTTCAAAGTATTTGATTACACTATCATTTTCAAAGAGCTAAGAAGATCAAATTAAAATCCCATTAATTGGATTTCTTTGTTGTTGTTGTTTTGTGGAAAAAGAAAAGCATACCTCAAAGATAGACTTCTTCTCTTTTAGTTCATTCTTACTCCAATCCGTCAACATACAAAACTCATCACCTACACATACCACTTCACCCGTCCTTCTCCAAACAACCGTCGGTGTACCACTCACAGAGATCATTCTCTCTAGTTCCTAGTAGCGAAAGAAAAAAATTCAACTCGTTGAGATTTGTAGGTCTTGGTTTAAGATAAAAAGTCTGGCTGACTCACAAGTAGAGATCTTTGAACGGCTCGCTCTAGTAATTCTGCATCTTCATCATTGATAGAGAACTGGGTATTTAGTAATTCGGGTCTTAAGTTGGCCACTACACTACGCATAGCTCGAGTCTCGTCATCTTCCGGATGTAAGCTAAACCTGAAAATCAGTCCAACTTTGCCTAAGTATATGAAATGAATATAGAATCATCAGGTTTTAAATCACCCACCTTTGATCAAGATATTGTTCTAATTCATGAAACCGATTCTCATCACCAATTCTAGCTTCGACTTTTTTCCAATCCTGTTCTTCGAATCCCATCCAATCATCTCTAATAGGTGAAGAAGTAGATTGAGAAGAAGAAGAACCAATAGCCAAAGAAGCAGGTGGAGTAGGTGGTCTTCTTGGACTTTTCATTTCACCTGCCATTTCACCTTTACTAAGCCATGCATCAGGCCCAAGATCAATGTCAGGTTGATTACCCCAACATTCTTCTAATAAACCATTAGGAAAACTATCGAGTGATACGAATTCTGATAAGTCTGGCCAGTCTATCCCATTGGTGAATGAATCCACTGATGTTGAGATCGGACCAGTAGAGCTTGGTGAAAGAGGTGCAGAGAGAGGTGAACAGAAACCTTGAGTGGTTGCGAGTTGGTTCAAGGGTTTACCAAGTCGGATCGGATAATTGAACGACGGTTCAGGTATGGCGGGGCCAGCGGGAGTGGAGGAGATAAATTGAGATGGATCGGGGTTAGATAGGTTTTGAGGTGTTGTAAGAGAACTTGGATAGATCGGTGGTCGAATTCTGGGTCTAGTCACTAATTCGTCATCATAATCTCTCAAGTATTTGGCTTTCTTTCTAAAGCCATCTGCACAAGATGCACCTAAACCACGTCTGGTACATCTTCTACATGGTCTACCATCATCACACGTCAGATGAGCTTTTTGACAATGAGCACAAGCTCGATTGGCTTTCTTGCGTTTAGGAGCAGTTACAGTAGCTTCTTTAGATATCGAGTTAGAGTGACAGTGATCGATTGAAGTTGAAGATTTGAGAGACTGCCATAAGAATAAAAAGATCGTAAGTCAGGCTAGAGTGGTGCACTTTGTCTCCTGCCCAGAAAGCACAGGTTGACAGACGGATATAGAGTCATAGGGAAGTGAAGGGGAATACATACCGATTCAGCAGATCGACAATCGAAAGAAGTTAGCAGAGGTTTGGTTAAAGGACTTGCTGGTCGAGGGGTGTGAGATGGCTCGCATTTGATTTTCGGGCAGACAGTAAGAGATTCTGGATAATCAGCAGGGATGAAACTCATCGAAGGATGTATAGAATGAGATTGATCGATGAGAGAGATATGATGAAGAGGATGAAGATGTGAGTGAGTGATAGTTTGAGTGGCCATCTGATATGAATTCTGTGGTGTGTACTATGTAGCTGAACTTGAAGCCCCAATGCGTAATTAACCGTTGAGCGAGCTGGAAGATTGGAATCACTATATCCAGACGGTTAGGCGAATGAGATCGACGATCGAGTAAGTGATAGAGACACAAGGATAATTTGAGCACTAAAGGATTGATTTCACATCAATCAATCTGGATAGTTTGTTGATGGAAAAAGAGGGTGACTGTAGCATTTGTTGAACGTACCTATGAAAAGTACCGAAATATAGGAATATCCCTTCCAAATAAGATATTCCGATGACGAACAGAGGTTGAGGAAGCGAGTGGCAGGTCGGAGAAAAGATGCCGAGGATGAGTTTACATGAATGAAGAGAGAAATGCCAAGTGAAGAGAAATGAAGAGAAGTTTAAGGTGAGTGAGTGTCAGAGTGAGAACAGATCAAGTCTAATCATTTTGTACTTTGGCCATACTAACACAATACTGAGACTTACTTTGGTTGAGACTTACTTTGGTTGAGGGCTGGAAAAGTCAGCTATTCGAAGGCGATGTTGACAAATATTAGGCTATTTATGTAGATCACCATCATCAGAAGGATCGATCCAAATGATCTTGTATCACGCATACATGTGACTTATTGACATCAAGAAAACTTACTTTAAAAAAGGTTTGATCAATGAAAAGCGACTATATATGTAAAGAAATATCAACGACCAAGACTCAACGTTTGAAGAAACAAACTATTTGTAATCGATGAGCTGTTTGACGTATAGTTAAATGAATCACCAAAAAATCAGCATTCAAACGCGCTTTAAAAATATAATCACAGGATTTTTGATGAGACAAGAAGGATAATGGAGATTATAGTTGTAAGATAAGGGGATGAAGCAAAGCTGGGAGATAAAGGAGATACATAGATTGCTCTAATCTGGCTAAGATCAAATCTAGACCAGGGAAATGATGTCTATTTATATGTAGCTACTCCATAAAATTTAAATATATCGATGTGAGTGAGGTCAAGGAAGCCAGAGATAAACTTGAATGACAAACGATGACGCTAGAAGATGCATAAAATCATCGTGGCGCAAGAAGTTAATAAAAAGTACATGGTTTCTATGTTTGACTCTGAGTCTAACCGATAACTTCACATTTCTCGAATGCGTAAACTTTAAAAGATCAAAGAAATGCGGGAAAAGAATAGGATACAATGGTTGATATGGTTGATATAGTATACTGATGACTTACAATGTGGCCTTCGACCAAAATTTAATCTGTGATATCTTTAGCTTGGACCACGCGGAGAGGGCTTTGATGAGTTTAAAGCGAAATCTTCAGTGGATCGAATTCTTGACGGGGTTTTTCTGTCGGTCGGAAATATGCACCAGTTCCAATTTGCTCGAAGAATAAAAGAGATGAAAATAAAATATAGTCCTCGAAAGTCAAGTATTGCTTGAATATTCGTGAGAATATGTAAGGTGAGAGATGAATTTGATGGGTAAGTGATAGAAAATGCTAGGCTTAAGAGTAATTCAAAACGAGTGTGAATGTGAAGCGAAGGTGAGTAAGGAATGAAAGTGATGAAAAGGATAAATGACAAAGTTTCTTCAAAGTCACACTCTCTTTACACTTCTGTGAGGGAATAATCGTCTCGGGGCTTTCTTCAAGGGATTAAGGTTCTAAATAAATATCTACCTATATAAACATGTAAGTTTAAAGCTTTCGATAAGAGTGAGTTGAATCAGAGTGAAAAAAGAAAGAAGGCTTCTACCTATATAAACATGTAAGTTTAAAGCTTTCGATAAGAGTGAGTTGAATCAGAGTGAAAAAAGAAAGAAGGCTTCAAGCTTATGAAAGTAAGGTTATCTACACAAAAGGATGGGAACAAGTATGTGAATGTTTTGTGAAGGCAACTAGGACCAAGCTAGGTTGTTGAATAAAGCCAATCGAAAAGATAGAAAGTAAAGATTGGATTTTAAGAAACTGCAAAGAATAAAAGTAAAAAGATCAAACTATAAATGAAGCTGAATATTCTTTGGTTTTGATTCTTTTTACTTTGACTATGTGGTAATCGGAAGTGAGTTTTGAAGTTTAAGTGGAGAAATAAATGCAAAAGGGGATCGAGGAAGCAGGTAAAAAACCGAAAGCTTGGATCACTTGGACAGAAGCTGGGGTAAGTAAAACTTCAGGGGAATGACTCATCGAAGACTTGAGAAGATGAAACACAGAGAGAAATGATGATATAGAGAGAAGGAGACAGAGATCAGTTATGTAAAGAAAGAGTGATAAGGATAATTTTTGATAAGTTGTAATGTTTCTTTGACAAATGGAATGAGAAATCTACAACAGGGAGCTTTTCAAACACCTCTTGTGTGAGAATGGGTCGATGGTACAGATTGATGCGGAATTGAAAAAAATGAAGTTTTAAGTAAATCAAACGAGAAGACGAACAGGTGATTTACCTAAAAGAAATGGATTAGGAATTGGTTTGACAAGTTTGAGGTTCAATTACTCAATCACTTGGCTTCTCTTTTCCTCAACATAAAAAAACACAAGCTAATGATATAGTATCACTAAGCAGAATATCTAGTTGAATTGAAGGGATTATGAACTCATCATACTTTGGATTGACCTTTAGAGGTGAAAATAGTTATGACTTCTTGGCTCAATTTTGATAGAAACACTACTCAACACTGCTTCTTTTCCTGCCTGCCTTTTACACTTTTCGGCTTCAAACCGACATTAAAAATCAATTGTGTTTTCGGTACCTTTCGTACAAAATTCTTTACACGTTAAAATTTCACTAACGCCTTCTCATCTTCATTCACTTCGGCCAATTTTTTCGTGGTCGTAGTTCTACTTCTTCAGGCCGTTTAAGCTCTAACTTTTGAATCTAAAACTTTAGAGTCTATCTCATCAAAACAATCTCGTATAACAGTTTGACTTCACAGTTTAGTATTATATGATCTCAATTGTGTTGATGATCTGATGACGGCTTAAAATCGATGGTAAAATCTCTGAAACAAATCTCTTACAATCACTTCTCGCTCTATGCCCGAAAGTCCTGATGATATCCATGAACAAGGTCTATGCGTACTTTCCTTGAATTTTGGTTTCATATGTTTGAAATCCAGGTTTTGGAAATGGCTCAATAGAAAATTATCCATATCTTTCATACCTTGGATGGAGTGGGTACCTCAAGCTTGTATGTATCTTTGCCATCATTTCAAGTTGAATGAAAAGTTTGAAGTTTACAACCGTATCGGAGTTCCATTCAAACTCAGTTTCAATGTTGTTTCAAGCTCGTTTCATAAGTCTCCTCCTCATCATCATCATCAACAAATCATCATACATCTTGATTACCTTTCTAAACGTGTTTCATCATGGTAACTTTGGAGAAAACCCCCCTATAGTTGATTTAATCTACCCATCCAACGTCATCCATCAAACCCTCGGTTGGGCATTTCTTAGCTCGGGTTTTCCGTTGCCCTTGGCAGTTTTACTTTCGTACTGTGATTCTTTCATCGATTCGTCATTTCTAATTTCCATACGTTCAGATTTTAATTAGTCCGAAGTCTAGGTCGAAATGACGCAGAAACCGTAGACTTTTCCTTATCGATGTTGTAAGGGGCAGTAGGACCGCTCCGAATCGATGAATCAAGCCGAGCAGTTGAGTCTCGGCCCCAAGGACTCAGGAGCGTCTCGTTTCGATATTTTCAACCTGCCATGTACTGAAACAGACCGAAACACTTGATCAATGGTTTGGTCACCCCACCACCAGCTCTACATAGTCCGACCGTCCGATGACAATAAGGCTTCTCATCAGCCCGCCGGAGCGTCAAGGGGCACAAGGCTTTCTGCGTTGCTTTGATCAAACACTTCGACTGTTCCTTGGATTGAAATCAATTCACAGCTGTGCTACCCAAGCGAAAATCCAAGACGTTGATTTCAATCCCTTTGATAGGGTGTGATGCTGAATATATCTTAGATAGAATATTTAAATATCACCGAGATTCAGAACATTCAGGCTTTGGTTGACCCGATGGATATGGTCTAGGTCATGGTTACGTCCGTGCTCAAGAGGCGGCTGGCTGCCCAAGGTCTGATATCAAAATAAATCATCAAGGCTATAAGGATATTCCTCCCTCCGAGAACCTGCTCTCCACGAGGTAGATTGGAGTTTTTCGTTCTGGTCACCTTTTCATCAACGAGCTGATGCGCGGCCCTACTCGAAGATCCGTTAATGCGCGGAGACGAAGAGCAATGGGAATTATGCTCGTTCCCGAGGCCGCGGGAAGACCCCCGGTTTGAGACTTCAGTCCGAGGGGGCCTCTTTCTGGATTCGATATCTGCCACTTGCCGTGCGAAAAGTTCTGGGGATATGTCGGCGTGCAAAACTGGGCAAATTAAATATAGAAGAAATTTGTAACCGTGGTATGTGTGGTGTTGAGAATGTCTCAAATCAGGATAGGGCGGCAAGATTAGTAATTGCATGACGAAGTCGAGGAAATGAAAAATTATATCTGTACTCTTCACAAAAAGCTTGAAAGGTGAAGAAGAAGTCTGAGGAGCACTATAAAGAGCAGGAAGGAAGGGATAAGTCATCATCAATCGAATCAGCTGCATAGTTCAGTTTAATTGCGCATCTGTTCCTAACAATCAAAGTAAAGGCGATATATCAGATTACCTTCTCTGATGTGACCAATATGTGGCCATTTACCAAATCACGATTAGATAGCGATACGATTGCAAGCTATCCCATTTCATCTATCCCAGATGAACTATCACCATTGGTATCAACTTCTACAAACGTATGCATTATGTTTTACGAATAAGTAGTCGAACCCTCATCTGAAGCTGACTATCACAACTTTGAATTGTAAAATAAAGGACTCTGCTACTCGGAATACACTCTCACGCCAACGAACACTTTTACCAGTCAAACAACTCTTGGTACTATGTATCATGCGACTCACAGGTTAGTTTATTTTATCTTTCTATCTTGTCAGAGGTTTTTGTGCAGCACTTCACTGACATGAGCTTGCTTACAGAACCTATTTCATACACCTTAATTTTTCCATTCATCAAGGCAGTTTTTCATTTTTCATATCAGTCAATTTGTTAATTTTATCCATGTAGAATCGAATTGATATGTGTGAAAACAAAAAATTCAGTCAAATGTTAGAGGAAATGAAGTATCACCCGACCCTAAGCAGATAGGATACTATGCTGGTGTGATTGAAAGTCAGTGGCAATTTGAATCATCTACTTCTGAAGACCTGACTTTCGATTCATGCCTATTGAAATACGTCTTGTTCGCATATCTGAAGGTCTCTTTGCGGTGGCTCAGCTCTGTACAGGTAAATTGCTGCTTCACACCTTTTGTTGCCACAGTGCCGCCTGACCAGAGCTCTGTCTTGATACCAAAATTTTCCAGCTATGTTTTGGGGTCGACTGTCTGATCGAGTCGGAAGGAAGCCGGAGATGCTGATCGGACTTTTTGGGATGGCTATCAGTGTAATCGCCTTCGGCCTACAAAAGACATACCTCGGATTAATTATCTCTCGCTTCATAGCTGGAATGATGAATGGTGGGCTGATCTTGTTGGATTCTAGGTTTCCAATCCACTGATTCTTATTTCACTAACACATTCTTATTACATTGGTCATGACAAACACACAACAGGAAATATCGCTATTCTACAGGTGCCAGGCTTTTATGTTTGAAAGATAGTGATTGTCAACTTACATGTTTTTCATTTCACAGAGCATTGTGGCCGAGATTACAGATCCGACAAATTATGCTGAGTATGTAAACTGTCCATCTGAGCCACGCAATTTTTGATTAGATTTTAGCTAACGGTATACTCGTCCAATCCTTTGGGTAGTGCGGTGTCTTTGCTTCCATTGTCATTCGTAAGTCCTCTTCCAATTTATGCAGCCCCTACTGTTCAGATGTCACATATAACTGTGGGTGTTGAAATCCATTGCTTACAATGTATTTGTATCTGCTCATTCTTGAAGGCAATTGGATCAATCATTGGTCCTATTGTCGGAGGTTTCTTGGCTTTACCAGCTCAGAATCTTCCTTTTCTTTTCGGAAATTGTGCTTTCTTGATCGAATATCCTTACCTCTTACCTTGTCTCATTGGTGGAATGTTGAATTTTCTCGCGATCATCCTTGGAATCTTTTGCTTAGAAGAGGTGAGTTCCTACATCCAGAATTAGCATTCGAATCGGCATCCTGATTCTTCTTCTTCATGTAACAGACGTTGGAACGCAAGCCACGAAATGGGACGCAAAGACCGACACCATCACAAGGTTACGAAGCCTTGTCATCTGCTGATTATGACTCTCGGCCAATCGTATCACCCCCGCATAGTATCAGGTCATTATGTACCGTACCGATCATGACTCTGATGTTGACGTTCACAATGATTCACATCAACAATGGTGCCTTGGTGGCTGTGATTCCACTTTATGCATACACAAGTTTAGTTGAGCATTTACTCTTCTCGATTGTTTGAAAGAGCGCAGAACTTGTACAATTGACATCACCCGCGAATCTCTTGAATCTCTTCAGAGGTGGTAAACGGCGGGCTGGGGATGTCGCTTGACCAGATTGGTGAGGTCTTCTATTGTTCTGTGTGCTACTTCATCAAAATTATATCACTGATCAATTGATTGGTGTCTATATATAGGATTCATTCTCAGTGTGAATGGAGTAGGACTAATCTTTGTTCAGCTCTTCCTTTTTCCACCTCTTCAAAGACGATTTGGAGCGGTTAATCTCTACAAGTGGTCGGTTCCGACCTTTACCATCACAAACCTTTGTCTACCCATTGTGACCTACTTAGTCCATAGTCAGTACAGTTTTCCTTCTGAGGTTGTCTTCACAAATGATGTTGATACGATGACATCATCTCTTCAGTCAAAGGCAACACTTCCACCATGTCATTGGCGTACATGTCAGTCATCATGATCATGAGAAGTCCAGGTGTGATGTGCTTTGGTCTGTATGTGATTCACATCGAGTGCATCAAACCTTTTCCGGCTAGCAGCTGATGATCTGATTATCTTAGTGTGCTCAATGATGCTTGTCAACATGCTTTCACCCAGCTCGTCATCTTTGGGAACGTTGAATGGGATAATGCAGGTATGATTTTTTATCCTTGAGCTCTAGCACATTTAAAATATTCCAAGACATGAGATTGCAGTTTGCTTGGGAGTTGATCATATGGTCTTTTGATAGACTTGTCGAGCTCTTGCACAAGCCATTAGTCCTATGTTAGGTACTTCATTATTTGCCATAAGTATTTCAAGTGGAATACTTGGTGGTAATTTAGTTTGGATAGTATTAGGCTTGGTGAGTGATCTAGAAGAATGGTTGTTACTTTGAAGTTGATGTGATATCTAATGAGAGTTTTGAGAGAATTTTTCAGATTTCAGTACTCGCTCAAATAAGTTCACATCGAATTCCCAATGAGATTGAAACACGAAAGGAAGGGGTTACATCTGAAGAAGATGGTGTTGAACCTCATGTTTAAGCCCCCTAACCAGTTTTTCAGGAATACCGGAGGCGCATGATATGGGATCTGTTGAGGATAGGGCCCAGAGATGCAATCTCCTTGTACTGTCCCTTTTCTGACCAACATGGCTAGTTTCTAGAAGTCTTGTATTGGCTGATCCTTTTTTGTATAATTATGGCGTTCAAACCTGTGCAAGAAATTTGCAATTTTTGTGAGAGTTCTGTGCAAGTTTTTTTAACATCTTGCATAGAACTTGCACAGAACTTGCAGACTTAAGACTTATGTATGTTAACCTAAGGTTCCCCGCTTTGAGGCGAAATGATTCAGCTTGTGCAGTTTTTTCAAGCGGGGTTGTGAAAAAATTAATTAAGCAAGATCCGTGCAAGATTTCCTGCACAGATCTTGCACATCGGTCTTGCAAATTTCTTGCACAGGTTTGAACCCCATAAATGCTCTCATTGTGTTATGTGATAGGTAGAAATATTGTTTTCTCACTTCTTTTGTAACCTAGTCTGGATATGCATAGTTTTGTTTTGATTGGAACATGATAGATATTTGTACAAGTACAGCCCTTTGCATGATTGATGACTTTGAAGAAAAAAAGACCTTGAGTTTTCAACAAGAAAACCTTGAGTTTTTTCAAAAAGTGACCGAGTTTTTTTCGAAAAAGTGACCGAGTTTTTTCGAAAAACTACCGAGTTTTTGAGAAAGTCAATGTGTTCTTCTTGGAATTTTCAAAAGTTGATGAGTTTTTGAAAAACTCAGTAGGTTTTCCAAAAAACTCGGTCACTTTTTGAAAAAACTCAAGGTTTTTTTTTCTCCAAAGTCATCAATCATGCAAAGGGCTGTAAATAGATGACAGTTACGGGTATAATTATTGTGGGAAGTGTATTTCAACATCACTCTACTCATTCCTGAAACTGACTTAGTTTCTTGAGAACTCTTATTAAAATTGATATTTATAAGGGTTGAATGACACCGCAAGAATCAATAGGTTCAAAACCTGATTGAAGGAAGTTGCAGTGAGTGTGACCAGGCTCACAAGCTTTTTCAACTGTGAGTCTTGTTTACAATGTGTTCAGTTTGGGTTCACTGAACATCCTTGACCACTCATGAAAGGAAATGATACATATAAACTTGAAGATCTTGCATATACACCTAGTTAAGATCCCTGATTCCTCTCATCCTCCCAATTATAAAATTCAACTCTTTGATACTCTTGTATTGTCTCAACTGTCTTCACATTTCTTGAAGTATATAGTATTATCAAGGTATGAGCTGTTTTTTATAGTGTACACATTGAGAAGCAACATGGAAAAATAGGCTTGTCTAGTGTCTCTGTGATCACATAGACATCAGCTTTCTTTTTTAGCTATTTCATAAGTCTTGTGGTTTAGAGTTGGAGAAACATTTTGTCATTGCAAAGGTGGCATTAATGATATATTAGTATCTATTAGTATGTACAGAAGGGCTCATTGATACATTACAAAGAGTGAGAAAGTGTTTCAAGTACAACTTGAAAGGGAAAATAATGTAATGAATCCCCAACAGGGTTCTCAGAAAACCTAAGGGCCCGTTCAGATGGTTTTGCAAAAAATTGTTACACAAAAACGATTTTTCAATCCGCCCCTTGAAAAAGGGGCAGATTGAAAAACTCAAAATTTGGTTTTTTGGTTTACCAAACAGTCGACCAAGTAGGTCAACAAAAGATTGAAATGGAGGGGCAAATGAGGTCAAAAACTCTTTTTGGTCTCAAAAACAGCCTCAGGGCTGTTTTTTAAAATTGAAGTTTTCTTGATCAAAAACGGAAAGTTGCAGAACGCCGGTGTCTTTGACAAAAATCAAAAACTGTATTTGGCCAAATATGGTTTTTGGCTTTGGTGGAGTATTTGGTTTCCAGCCGAACGGGCCCTAATGTGAATTGCAAACTAGACTTGCAATTGAAGAAAGTTGTGAACCCCGTCACCACATCTTTCTTCAATCAAGTTTTGAACCCATTGATTCCCGTGGTGTGAGGATTCAATTCCTATATGAGATGAACTATGTTGTTATCCTAATTCAGAGTCATAACGGGTGATAAGGATATGTACCAAGTCTACCCATTCTAGAAGAGATGTCTGATAATCTTTTAGCCCTTTCCTGCCTTTTTGATTTTATCCATTCTTGTTGTATATATGTACATATCTGAAGAAACACTTCTTCTTCATCTTGTTTTGTCTTGTGTGTGGGCAAGGTCAAAACTGCTACGCAATGGACAGCAATATCAGAGTACCCAGATAGCAGTGCGATGAACCACTATCTTCAAGGCCGCTGAGTAACACTATTAGGATAGACCCACTATGGGGATCATGTAGAGGTGTGGAACACTCACTACAGAGCACAACACTATTTCATTGCTAGCCCTATGATAGCGCACACGCAAGGTTTTTGTAATATGAACAAAGAATTTATTAAAAGGGTCACAAAAACAGCCTCAAGGCGTTTTTTCAAAATTGACAAGTTTTTGATCAAAAACGGTTTTTGTTTTTGATCAAAAGAAGTTACCAAACGCTGGTGTTTTTGATGAAGATCAAAAACTGTTTTTTGGGTTCCAGCCTAACAGGCCCTGAGTTATTGAGGTTTGAAAAAAAAATCAAAGATACCCTTTTTGTACTATACCTAAGAATTGAATCTGGAATATCTTCCTGGTTTATGAATATACATACAAAAAAAATTGATAATCCTTTTGAAAATATATTTCTCCACATTTTTGTCCCCTAAAGCCTTCCTGTATGGGCAGTATTTCTACATTAATTCCTCAATGTGTTGGCAAGTTTGATTTGCGGAAGTTCTTTTCCCTAAGACAGATTTTCAGGGAACATATTGCCAAATCATTCTGAATTTGATTGATATACATGTAAATGGTATTTTACAAAGACTTCTGCCATAAACTTTGCCATATTCTGCCTAGAATCAAAGAATCAATCAAAATGTTGACTGCTCATGTACACACCACAATTACATATAGAAATACTGCCCATACAGGAAGGCTTCAGGGGAAAGAAATGTGGAGAAACATATTTTCAAAAGGAATATCAATTTTCCTGTGTATGTATATTGATGAAGCTGGAAGATATTCCAGAATCAATTCTTAGGTATAGTACAAAAATAGTATTTTTTGTCCGTGATTTTTTTTTGGATTTTACTAAAAGCAGCCCCCCCATGTGAGGTTTGACCGCCCCCTTTTATTCTGTATTTCAATTCAAAATATATCCTATTGCACGATAGGGGGCGGTCCAGAGAGCTTATTAGAGCTGATTGCAAGGTTTTAGTGAATAAAGTGGGTGTTCTTGAATACAGCACCTGTATTCTCCAAACTAGTCCAGGCAATAGAGATTTGAGTGAGAGATCAAGAAAACCCCACTGCAATGAGATTTCCAGACTTGTGATGAAAATATCCAATGTTTTGTTGACAAGTCAGCCTGTGCCCCGACCCAAAAAACACGGGTAATGGCCTACCCGCACCCCAAACCAATACCCAGTAGGCCCCCCCGCGCCCAAACCCTACCCAAACCAATTGAAACCCGGCTTTCAGAAAGCCCCCCGACCCCTATCCCAAATGCCTAAAAACCGCGGGAAGCCGGGGTTCCCCGCGGATAAGATTGGGGGTTTGAGGACTAGGCCCCCCCGCCCCCAAACCCTACAGGGTCCCTGACGTACTGGGGTCCCAAAAAAGGTGACCGAACCCGCACCCCGAGGGTTCGGGGCTTGGGGAACCCTCGGGGTGTTGGTTTTGGGGCTCAGGCTGATTGACAAGGTTTTTGGGCACTAAATGTCATATTTACAAGACCTGCAGTAGTGCAAGATGTACATGAGATCAAAGGCTTTTGTTTAAGCTAGCTTTCTAACTTCTAGCCCCTATAGTTCCCAAGTTACTTGAATGTAACGGTCAAACAAGCCTTAAAATCAAACATTGGAATCAGGCCTTGGAGGCACGGAAAAATTTTGCGCCCAAGTGAGCAAAGTTAAGAGCCTCAGAGTAGGCTTGGTTGATAGCTCTACTCCATGTGCATCTTTTGGAGTGCTCTGGAACTTGGGGCATGGAGGGGCGTGTGGTGTAGAGCCCAAAAACTGAAACACAGGTTTTGTCAGATACCTCTATAGGCACATTCCTGGGTCCTGTTCCAGACCGCCCCCTTCCCATCCCACATTTGTATCATACAGTAACAGTTTTCTTTTCCCCGGCTAAAAGGAGGCGGTCAAGCCTCACAAGGGGGGGCTGCCTTTAGTAAAATTCTTTTTTTTCAAACCCCAATAACTCAGTCAATTTACGTCACAAAGTTTAATAAACTATATATTCTTGGTGGGGAAATACAGGAGCAGGTTTGTACAGATTTATGATGCTGTATGATATCATCTCATTTTTGGTGGTATGACAGATTTTGCTGGTAACTGACCCAAAACATCTTGATAGCCGATGGATTTCACGCTGAAAACAAATTGAAGTTTTGTTGAAAACATTTTGGAGACATTGGATGTACTGGCCTGCCAGTGAGTGACCAGTAGTTGGGGGCTGTGATTGGAGGAAGTTTCAGTGACAGGGTCTGCAACTTGCTCCAATTGCTAATTGCATTTGCAATGCGTTCACGATTGGTTTGCTGTACATCATCAATACCGTCACGGTTGTGAGCTTTCAGGCTTTGTGCTGTGTTTCACTTTCCAGGAGTACTAACCACAGATAAGTACTCTTATGAGGGAGTATGTACTGGGGTCCTAAGTGAATCATCTCTTTTAAAACATTATTAAATCACACCAGATACATCCTCTGGCACAACATATCAAGACAATTTGGAAGTGCTATCACGTGCCCAGCTGCTACTAGCTTTGAATGTGCTCTCTCAAGGGTTTACAGCAAACAAATTGCGAACCAATTGCAAACACAATTAGCAATTGGAG